CGGGGGTAGAGCGTCTGGATAGAGCGAGTGAGATAGCCAGGGTGGGCAGAAGGGTAGCCGTGCAGTCATAGAATCATAGAATCAACCAGGTTGGAAGAGACCTCCAAGTTCATCGAGTCCAACCCTACTTGTGGTTACTAGACCATGGCACTAAGTGCCACATCCAGTCTCATCTGGAAAACCTCCAGGGATGGTGAATCCACCACCTCCCTGGGCAATATTCCGATGCCTGTATTCAGAATCATTTAACGATTTGTTGTCTTTTTTTTCCTCCTCTGCCTTTTCAGGAATGATTTTTTATTTGTTTTGGGTTTTTTAATAATTGCATTTTAAAGTCAGTTTTTGTAATTAAAATATAAATACCTTCGGATTCCTTCCATGCACTGCTAGAATTTCTGAGGACACTTGCAGTGTGCAGTTGCAGGTCACTGGAATGTCAGATAACTATTACTGTGTTCCAGCTGCAATGAAACAAGTGCAGAAGCTTTCAGAGAAGTGAAATAATTACTAAAATTATAGCAGAAAGGTCATAGACAATCAAATGAGGATTTGGCAATAAGTTATGTGAGACTAAATGATCTCTAGAGTTCATACTAGTCAAATTTGTTCTGATAGAGAGCTACACAGAAAAGTGACCTTAGAAATGCACTGGTTGGCTTTTCTTCATGTATTTTTTTCTAAGAGCTCTTAGTGCACTTAATACTCTGAAGACTCATCACTTCTGTTTATGTATTTGAAAGAAACTTGAGGGTTCTGTTTAGCAATGCCTTATTGGTGACATTTTCTCTTCCAGGTGGAAACAAGGATAACATCAGAGCAGGATGCAAGAAGTGTGGCTATCGTAAGTCTGCAATAAGCAATATGAAGTTAGAGTGATTTGCTTAGTTTGTGACATTGGAACTGCCTTTTGAGGAGGGGAGAAAAATGAAAAATAAGTATTCTCCCTTCTTGCCCAGACCTTTCTCCGTTTAAATTGCCATATTTGTAAAATTAATTTCACATTCATTCTCTGGGTTCTCACACCTGTTGCTGCTTTTGAAAACTCTTGAATTTCTCAGGAAAAAAAATTGTGCTGTTATATTCATATATACTGCATTTGCAATGCAGTTACTTGAGAAACTTTGAATTGGACGCATCACCTGTGATACGTACTGAGATTAGCATTTGTGCTTCTTCCTAATCTCACCACAAACAGACAGGCATTTCAGGTCAAGTTAAGTCCAGTCTGTTTTACATGAACCACATTTTTTTGTGCATTTCAAGAAATTACTTTTATTACTTGCAAGTTCTGCTGTTAACACTTAGCTTGAGCTTTGCATTATTCACTGGTGATATAAGCGTGTCTGTGGCTACTTTCCTGATAAATAGAGACAGACCTTAGTGAAGATTTTAACTTGTTAATCACTAACTGTTATTTGGAGAGGTGGAAGATGTTTTGCAGTGAATTGTGCTGAACTTTTAACACAGTGATTTAAGCTATTTGAGGCTTTTATAAGCATTGCATGGGGTGACAGGAAAGAAAGGTTGGTCTGTTCTTTCAGTTCAGACTTTGCAACAGTTGCTTTGTGTATCTGTTCTTCTGAAGGACCATTGATATCAATATAGATTTAGTGCTTTGTTTGTACATGCAGCAAGTACCAGAAGCTTTCTGGAAGAGAAGGGAACTTGTAGTTAAATTACACGATGTGTATATTCCTAAAAGCTCTGTTGTCAAGATGTAGATGTTCTGAGATGAAGAACATGAGTTACTTGAATTCCTGTACCTCCTAAACCATATCTTCAATTTGTTTTATTTAAATTTATTATTCCAATAGGCATATTCACCACAAGGTTTCTAAGTGGTCATAATTATTGAGATGTAACTCAGAAAACTAAAAATGCTAGTCAGCATTAGGTACTGGTTGCTAAAAATAGAATCATAGAATCAACTGGGTTGAAAGAGACCTCCAAGATCATCAAGGCCAACCCTACCTTGGTCACTAGACCATGGCACTAAGTGCCACATCCAGTCTCATCTTGAAAACCTCCAGGGATGGTGAATCCACCACTTCCCTGGGCAGCCCATTCCAATGCCTGATCACTCTCTCTGTAAAAAAATCTCTTCCTAATATCCAACCTAACCCTCCCCTGGCAGAGCTAGAGTCTGTGCCCTCTTGTCCTCCTGCTGGTTGCCTGGGAGAAGAGACCAACCCCCACCTGACTCCAACCTCCTGTCAGGGAGTTGTAGAGGGTGATAAGG